TTCAAAAAGTAAGACCCCCAGCTCTTAAGAAACTTTACTTTACAAATGATCACTAATCATTTATTTGTGAGTTGTGTTCTACCTAACCAAAAGCCAGAAATTGTTGACCTAACCGAGAGTCACATTACTGTCTGAAATCGGGATAGGATAAGGCATGAGAGAGAAATCTACCCTAGTACTTTGAAAAACAAGCTAAACCATTCTAAAATAGGCATAGAGAAATGGTTCAGTCCCTCAGCACCAGTATAAAAAGCCAGGTCCAATGGCATGCAATTGTAAGTCCAACATAAAATGTCAGATCCCATTGCATGCAATTGTAATTCCAGTATAAAAAGTCAGGTCCAATGGCATGTAATTGTAATTCCAGCAAAAAGAGCCATGTCCAGCACTGGAAAGGCCAAGACTAGAGGGTCCCTGGAGCTCAACTGGCCAGTTAGTCAGGTCAAATTGGTGAGCTCCAGGTTCAGTGAGAGATCTTGCCTCAGAAAATAAGGCAGAAGTCTAGTAAGATGGCTCGTCAGGTAAAGACACTTACTGCCAAACTTGTCAACCTCAGTTTGATCTGTATGGTGGAAGGAGAGAATCAGATTCCACAAACTGCCCTCTGAATGGCATACAAACACTGTGGCGGGCATGTGTCCATATATACACACTCACAGGCACACATATATACACACTCACGAGCACACAAATACCTTCACATGCATAAAAACAATGGGAGTATATAAATGTATTAAAAAATGAGGTGAAAAGGTGACTGGTGAGGTGGCTCAATAGATAAAATATTTATCGTGCAGATGGGATAACTAGAGCTCAGCTTTCCAGAAACCTGTAGCTGCCGGGCTGGCATGTAATCCCAGTACCCACAAGATTGACAGGGCATTCCTAGGACAAGCTAACTAGCTAGGCTGTCCAAGTCATCATGATCTGGTCTCAAATGAGAGACCTTGCTTCAGTAATAAGGGGGAGAGCTATTAAGGAAGACATGTGACATGCATACATACACACCAGCACACACGCATGAACACACATACAGATATTTAAAATACTAAGACGTTTTAAGGAATTCTGCATGTTATTACAAAAAAATGAAACCATTAGTTGTATCACATCTTGCAATCCTGTAACATCCTCTCTATTACATTCATTTAGTCAAAGAAAGTAAATAGTACATGCCAGTGAATGCTCTTTTGACATACAAATTGGAGAAATTCCTTCTGCAGTTCTTTATTGTACCTCTTCTCTTCCCAGGTCTGTCCTAACCCTGTGACCATCTTAAAATGGGAATGAAAAATCCAGACTGGAAGAAAGAAGATGCATACTTTCTTTGGGCACTGCTTCCTGCTTGCGCTTGAAGAAATCACCCTCACAAAACGAGCAGACATAGGGAAGGTGGCCTAGTCAGAGTCTCTGTTGCTATGATAAACATCATGGTAAAAACCAGACTGGGGAGGAAAGGGTTAATTTAACTTACCACTTAAAGTCCACCACCAAGGGAATCTAAGGCAGGGACTCAAGGTAGAAGCTTGAACCAGAAACCACCGCAGCACACTGCTTACTGACTTGCTTCATTTTTAGCTGGTTTTCTCATACAACGACCAAACTGATTCATTTTGGTGTGAGCTGGACTCCACCTTACACATAATCAGTCAAGACATTACCACATATATTTGACCACAGACCAATCTTATGGAGTCAGTTCTTCAACTGGGGAATCCCTCTTCACAAGTGACTCTAGTCTGTTGTAACTCTACATTTAAAACAATCCCTGTCCATCACAAGAGCTCCCTTAGGTTTGAGACTGGCAAACCAGGGTGACAGGTGTATATTTTAGAGTATGGATCTGGACCAGCGCAGAGAGAAGCTTGGAAGAAGAAAGGGAAACCCTTTAGCTTAGTGAGGAGTTCAGGAGCAAATGGTTCCAAATTGAACGCAACAATTAAGGAGTCTAAAAGGAGAATTAAAGCAAGATATTTATTAAAGTGTCATTTGCATAGAGATCAAAATTAATATAAATCAGTGGTAAAGATTTAAAAAAGAGCAGATCTGAATGAGGGACCATAAACCCGAGGAAGCCAGGGTCTGAAGACGGCGATGAGAAGCGCACAGGCGGTGAGCCCTGACTACATCAAGAGCAGCTAGGAGGAAGCGCTCTGGAGACATCGTGGGATTAGAAGACAAATACAATGGGATGGTTAGGAAACTAATAGGTTAGAGTTGAAAGAGTAAGAGCGATCAAGGAGCTTTAGCAGACCAGAGAGGTAAGAGGAAATAAGGATGAAAAGGGAGAGCCAGACAGTGGTGACACACACCTTTAATCCCAGCACTTGGGAGGCAGAGGTAGACTGGACTCAATGTGTTTGAGAACAGTCTCGTCTACAAAGCGAGTTCCAGGACAGCCATGATGTTACACAGAGAAACCCTGTGGAGAAAAATGGAGAAAAAAAAATGAGAGAAAGGATGAAAAGGGAGTTCCAACAAAATGCAAAGCTCTTGTTTCCAAGCCTCGGTGGTCTGAGCTCTGTCTCAGGAACCACATGGAAGAAGGAGAAAATCAAGTTTTTAACAAGTAGCCCTCTGACTGCCGCTGATGCCATCTCAAACCCCAGGAAACGTATGTTTGTAATATTTGAAAATATAGGTAAGAGAAGCAGAAAATTTCAAACTAGTTTGAAGTTACGTGTTATTTGTGCAGTAAACAGTGAGGTTGGTTTTGTATCATAGATGAAGAGTCATAGAATTTCTAACTCCAGGTATTAAACTAGAAGTTTATGGTGGGTAGCTTCCAAAACCTTATTTGCTGAAGATATAGTGTGTTAAAAGTCTCATCTCTCTCTCTCTCTGTGTCTGTCTGTCTCTCTGTGTGTGTGTGTGTGTGTGAGAGAGAGAGGGGGGGGGAGCTATTATATTTTCCTATCCCTGAACAGTTATGCACATTTTTTCCATTTTTGTATTTTCATAAAAATTAATGTCACGATGGTATTTCCCCATACTCCTGCTCACTGCTTAGAAAGATACTGGGGTGAGCATTTTTCCTTACGGTTTTCCAATCACAAACCTGCAGTGATTTCTGAACCATGAGCTGAGAGTCAAGGGGGCAGGACTTGGCAGAGGCTAACTCTCCTGGTGAGACACACAGAGTGGGTCTAAGACCTATCCCTGGCAGTGTCTCGTCACTCTGTTGAAATGGCGTTAGAGCGAGCAATTCACAGACAGTAATTCAATTGCCAGTGTCCTTCTTGGCCTCCTTGTCAAAGAGCTAGCACAGCCTAGTAGTCGTCTGTAGCACAGATTGTCTTTCTGCACTCATCTTCAGGATCTGCCTGTTCGGGTCTACTCTCTAATCTGTACTTTATACTTACATTGACTTGAAGTGGAAGATGAAGTTCACACTAGACTGGTGGACGGCTTTTTCTTGCAATAATAGCTAACACACGAGAAGCTTATTCTCTAACTACTCGGGGGAACTGCTGTCCAAAGGAGCAGAAAACCTGTCTTTCTTATTACAGTTGTCATGCATTTCCTCTTCAATGAAATTTTATGGGAATGTTCTTTTTCTGGATAGAATCAGAAAAGTGAAAATACAAACTTAAAAAAAAAATCTTTCACTGTTATCCTACTTTACTTCCTGTATTGAATTTGTCTTTAGGGAAACTGTGAAGGCATTGCCATTGTGGGCACAAAACTTTCTGCACAACACTAGCAGAATCTACTGAGCCCACTCGGCAGCTTTAGTTTATAGTACCTTGTGGAGCCAAGTGTCAGTGTGATTGGTCCAACTTGAGCATCTGAATGGTTTGATTGAATAACCAACAGGGTTTTATATAAATAGTCAATATATACATCACATTTACATATTATTGTGTCATTTCTTCCCTTCTTTCTGTTCCATCAGCTCCTCTGCCCCTTCTTGAATTCATGGCATGTTATTCTTAATTATTATTGCTCTGTACACACACACACACACACACACACACACACACACCTTATTAAGTATAGTTAGCAGTCAGTGTTACCTATATGTACATGTTTTTAGGGCTGACCATTAGAATGGGGGACTTGCCTCTGAAGAAAATTGGTTCTTCCTCACTGAGCTGCTCTTGACCGCATGTAGCTCCTCACATAGGGGTCAGGGCTTTGTGAAATTTTCCATCTGCACTGGCATGTGGACTAGTGTGGTCTTTACAGGTCTTATATGGGTATCCATATTGTTGAGAGTTCTGGAGAGGAGCATCTCTATCATGTCCAGGGCAGACCATCTCAAAAGGGTTGTGTGTCAGTCCTTAGGATCTTTCAATCTTTTATGCCTCCTCTTACATGACGTTTCCTGAGACTTAGGTGCAGGAGCTGTGTTGTATAGATACCCCATTTGGGGGCTGGGCACCACACGATCACTTTTCCTCTGCATTCTGACTAGCTGTGGCTCTCTATAACAGCCTCTGTCTTCTGTAAAATGAAGCTTCTTTGATAAGCGATGAGAGCTACTCTTGCCTATGAAAATAAGGTGGTATTAAGACAGCAGTTGGAAATTACATTAATTTAGGAACATAGTAAGGACAAGTTCTCCTTTAGTGTCTATGACCTTGCCAGCCACAGATTTTTGATTAGGTTTATAGTAGTAGTTATGAGTTCCCTCTTATAGAGCCTATAGAGTAGGCCTTGGGTACAATAACACTGTTCTGTCGGTTCTCCCCATGGTACAAGTGTTACTATTGCCCCAGTGGGGTTAGCTTGCTTGTCTGACCATTGTGTTTTGCAGCTTTACATCTGGGTAGAGCCGTTGATGCATTTTCTCCCTTGGCGGCTTGCATAACACCGCTGTAGCTGTGAGAGCAAGAGCCCAGGGAGGAGACTTCCAGTTCAAGTACCCGGATTTCCCAAAATAGGTTTCATGGCTTAAATTACAGTGGCTGGAGTGTATTGTCCTATCTTCATGTTCTGTTAGGCAACCTAGAGCAATAGACAATAGTCGTCTATATTGTTTTCTAGGGACTGTTGAATCCCTTGGTCACCAATGGAAAGGAAGGTATTCCCTTCTTGGCACTGGAGTTTCGTCAGTTTGTGAATTCTAGGAGGTATCATCCTGCCGATTGAGGTAATTCCAGTAACCCTAAATACATGCATATATGCATTTTAAAGTATGAAACAATAGATCTTCCAAACATCTTTAGTGTTGTTTCTCCTTCATCATCTTCTTCCTCTGTATTACTCTCCCTCTTCTTTCACCATTTAAGTCCAATGGGATTTTTATTTTAAATCTCTAGTCTGGTTATGAATTAATTAAAGAAAACTCCACATACCTGCTTGATTAGGATTTTCGAGTTTTAGTGAGGAGGGTACAGTAGCTTTTCTGGAAAGCAAAGTAAGAAATTCGCTATATATATATATATGGTTTTCTCTATAGCTTTGGAACCTGTCCTGGAACTAGCTCTTGTAGATCAGGCTGGCCTCAAACTCACAAACTCACAGAGATCCACCTGCCTCTGCTTTCCAAGGGCTTGGATTAAAGGTGTGTGCCACCACCGCCCGGCTCCAAAGCATTTTTTTTTTAAAAATCTGGATAAAAGTAAGTGAATAAAATGCAGAACCGAGAATTTTCACTCAAGAAGTCAAATATCCTGGTGAAGTTACCTAAAGCAGCCGCACTGTGTCCTGGCTTCGAGCCGTTAGTAATGAGACATGGTTTTGCTTCCACTCGAACACTGTTACTGTTGCAGTCTTCCCTCGTGAAGGGCAAAGTGTCCTGGATATTAGACTGTTTTATGAGCTGAATGAAAGCTGGAGCATCTCCTGGAATCTCCAGTTCCTCGCCATGCACACACACAGGGCCACTGGTTTCGGGGGAAAATCTCTCACACGCTTTGCTTGTATTCACAGTTGCTTTATCCCACGTTCTTTAACATTCACTTTGCACCATTTATTTTCTTACTGCAGAAACCATCTCTTTCATCCAAGGAACAGCTAAACAACTTCAGGACAAACAAAACATGAAGTAATAAGCTATCTTTGCTCGAAAGAGCCGTTCAAATGTCACCTTCCTCCCAAACCCACAGGGGTGGAGCACACTCTGTTTCCCCTCTGTCCCCCTGACAAAGGAAACAAGAAATTCTTTCATCAGTTTTATTTGTTTTGTAAATCACACTGTCCTCAACTTTTAACATAAAAATTTCCTTGACAGCCATTTAATAATTGTGAGTGATCTATGACTTGATTATGAAGTGTTCATCTAATAATGATCTATTTCCTTTACCCCAGAGGCCAACTACAAAGCTAGAGTATTATCTTGGTGATATTTTTAATAACTTCCCATGGGATTGCAAGCTCCAAGCACAGCCGACCCTGCAAAAGAGTTAATCATGTAATTTCACAGATTAGACACCACAGGGTTACTAATGAGAAACTTCAGTTTAGTGATAAACTTTTTTTTTCCCCAGAAATATTTTGAGAGGCCCATGACCTTTGGCTGACACTCGGCGAGGCTATTAGTTTACCCGTGGATGCGCTACCAAACCCAGAGGAGTCAAACGGGACGTCTTTTCTGGAAAGCTGATTGCAAGAATTTTTCTTTATAAAGACTCTAGTAACAGATGGAACAGACAAAGGAGAATAAAAGGAGACAAGTGGGGGGCGGTGCTTCACTTCCGCTGATTGGTATAACATCAGTTTCTAGTGTCTTTCCAACCATATGTTCAAAATGGAGAGCACGGTTCACATTTCAATGTCACGCTGCCCTCCGTTCATAAACATGTATCATCCATCACTAAATATTTAGATCCGAATTGTTGGAGCTGAGCTCTGTGCCAGGGGTAAAGGGATTAATTCCTTTCAAGGTCCTCACATGATGGATTTTCCCCTGAAGTAAACATCCGAGAAGCGCCCACACTGAAGCCATAAAATGTATAAATAAAGTTTAAAGTTTAATTAAGTCAACATTATTTAAAGTGGTTGTCATATTTTATGGCAAATGTTTCATGTTTATTTTGTATGGCTCCTAATAAATAGCCCCTCCTGGCCAGAAAGAAAGGCCCAACGAGGCTAAAGAGTCCAGATTGGGGCCAGAAGTAGGAGGATTTTGAATTGGGAATAATGGAGCCCTTTCCCATTATGCTTTTGTTTAAAAACCTGAGCATGTAAATTAGACCTCGAGGCAGCATCCGGCACAGAAGGGATGCTTGAAAAACCCTCTACTGGTTTATCAGTTGGACTCTGGAAAAAGATAGTCCTTATCGGCCCTGCAGACGGGCAAACGGAGGAAAGTTCGAGTGAAAAACAGAAGAATTGATTACTGTTTGCCTAGTAACAGAAGGCATGAGAGAAACTAGTTAAGGAAAAATTAGTCCACATTGACTTATTTGCTTCTTAACTCTTTTAGGTGGAGGCTGTACAGTATTTCACACAGTGAAAGATAGCTTCAAACTTGCTCTGAGGAAGACCTTAAACTCCTACCCTCCTGGTTCTGCCTCAGAAATGCTAGGATTTAGAGGCATGAATCACTGCGCTCAGTTAAAATACATTTTCTATAAAGGTAATTCATCGACTGTATATAAAACCTTTCCAAACACAGCATTTTAAGGCACCTGATTTTTCTTTCTTAATTTCAAGTTGGGAAGCTGGTTCGCTGACACTATCTCACAAAGGATTCAGTGTTCAAGGAGAAAGTAGGAAAAGGCATTAACCCAGTTTATGTGAATTCTTTATTGGGGGCCAGTCAAAGCCCAGTTGTTCACATAGTAAGGACTTTTGTATAGTAAAAGCTCCTTTGATCGGAGGCTCAGCTCCATCCAAGGAGACACTCAGAGCTGTAACAGACCATCAGCACACCCGTCCAATCCTGACACTTTGCCTGCGAAGGTTGAAGAAGTTGATTGTTCAGGTTTATGTGGGTGACTAAGCAGGTCTAGGACTATGGTTTCCCAGTGTCCTCTTCCTGTTCGCCTTCCCACAGTGTATATACTTGACCTGTCTGCAGAGGAAAATGATGGTGGGTGTCACAGATGGCTTTGACATGAAGCGATGTAAAGCTGGAGAGAGTGTACTAACGCTTCCAGTGCTTCTTTCCTTACATATTGTCACAGTAGAGTGATCGGACACAAAATCTTAGCACAGACCGCCATTTTCCTTGTGCAAATTCCATGAAGAATTAAAATGTGTTCACAATGTACTTCACATAGTTAAGGAACACCCAATTAATGATATCAATTATATCCATTATCAAGGCTATCATGGTCACTCTTTTAAAGCTATGCACTCAATTAAAGATAAAATATAGTCCCAAATTACAAATTACTAAAATATAGCTGTGAATGATTTCATTTTTCTTGAAAGTTGAACTATTGTGTTTTGGCAAGGCCCAAACATTCATATAGATGGAAAAAAAATTTCCACCATGCTGAAATTTGTCAAGCAAAGCAAAATTCATCTTATTATCTTTTCTAAGATAGTATCTTTTTAACATATTAAATGTGAGGATTAATTGTAAAATGAATGCATAAGCATTCAGTTAGAGGTGTAGACTTGAAACAACATTTTGTTGTTAAAAGAAGTAGAACCACTCAGATGATGTAAAAGTAAAGATCGTTGCCTAGCAACTCCCTGAGACGTTTTCCCTTTCTTTAGTTTTTCTAGTCTATATTATCATTATCTGTGTGAATTTTAATTCCAAATAATTATCTTTCCTTGGAGTTTTCTTTGTCAAAAGTTGCAAAATTATTCTACTTTCTACACAAATATATCATAGTCTTCTAAACTCCCTCTAAGAAGATTGCATATTTTATGAAACAAACGTAGTGAAAAGGAAGAGAAATAGCAATAAACATACTTTTACATAAATAGATAGTTTTAGTTAAATTTTTATGATATAATTTTATGTATATTTTTATGGAAGTATAACTTTTATGACAAGACAAAAACGTCTTTCCAGATGCTATTAATTACCTAAAAACTTGCTGGGATAATAATAACCCTTGATGAAGTATTTATTGCTTCAACCCCAGCAATAGGCTCATCAAAAGCCCTATTGAAGCTTATTAACATACCACATATTTCCCTACTTGTCTGGTAAATGCTATAGTATTTGTTATGTAAAAAAATGCTATCACTGAACAACTTTAGTATTCCATTTCCTTTGTTAATTTGTAGCTTCTAAACTCAAGTTTTGATTTTTTTATTGACTTTCATTAACACTCACATATATACTTATGGGATATATAACTGGACTGGACTGAGGAAATCACCACCATTCTGTTCTTGTGTGAAAAGAAACCAATGTGAACACTGTAAATCGTATGTAACATTTTCAATGTATTGTTCACCTAACTGTATCAATATTCTAATGAATATGAGAATACCATCCACAAAATTGTGCTTTCTTTTCCTCATTGTGCTATTTGCTAAGAGAAATCTTTTCTCATTTGTTCCTAACCTTAATTAATTAGCCTTCAGGGGCATGTTCCCCACTCATTATAAGTTGGGGACCTAGAAGACCCAGTGAAATGTGAGTTAATTTCATTAATGTGCTCTTGGGGGAAGCCTGAGTGCACCTAGTGTTTCCAAGGCATTTATTTTGTCTAAACATTTCCTCTCACTGAGTTATTATTATATTATATAGTGGAGCTACAGTGGGTGCTAAGGCAGAGACAGATGAAATCTTTTCTAGAATTAACTCCGAGACCATATTATTTTTTTCCCAGTAGAAGATCCCTGCAGACTGGACTGAGCCCCCAAGGTCCAAATGAAGAGCAGAAGGAATAAGAACATGAAAAAGGAAGTCAGAACCATGAAGGGTGCGATCACCCACTGATAAAAGGGGACTGATCTAATGAGAGTTCACCAAGACCAGTTGTCTGGGACTGAACGAGCATGTGATCAAACCGGGTTCTCTGAATGTGGCTGACATGGGGGCTGACTGAGAAGTCATTGACAATGGCACTGGGTCTTGTTTCGTTTGCATGGACTGGCTTTTTGGGATCCTAGTCTGTTTGGATGCTCACCTTCCTGGACCTGGAGGGAGGGGGGAGGAACTTGGATTTCCCACAGGGCAGGAAACCCTGACTGCTCTTGGGAATGGTGAGGGAGGAGGAGAGAGAGTGGGGGGAGCGGGCGGGTATTGGGAGGAAATTCTTTAAATAAATAAATAAGGAAAAAAATCAAAAAAAAAAAAAGAAGAAGAAGATCCCTGCAGAAAGAAATACTTTTAAACAGAATGAGTAGATAATGGAGACTTACGCTTTAAGCATAGGTTTCCAAATGCCTATTATGAATATATCATGAATATACATGAATATATCAAGCATTCTGCAGATCTCTGTTGATTATCTCCTATAAAATGTCATGTTGAACAGAGTAAACTTCGTCCCACCTCTAAGTTATCATCAGTATGGATGAAAACTTTTTTTGTAATATTTGTAAGCTTTGCATAAAAACATTTGCACACATTTAAAAATATATCTGTACAAATGTATGTGCAAATATGACTTTAATATATATATATATTTATTTTTAAATGAAATGCTTATGCAGTCTATAAAGTGTAGATTGTCCCATGCTTTATGAATTTATTATATCTGTTGATAAAAGGAGTGAAGAAAATTTAATCCTCCACCCAATTAATTCCTAAGTGTCATCAATTCCCCAAGTATACCAGTTGTGATTAAAATATGAGGTTATTCATTTCAGATGTGATTGAATAAATGAACCAAGTAGGAAGTTTTATCCCCTTTTCATCCATTACCATATTACAAAATAAACCTAAGGAAGAATCTGAAATGAACATAAATATTGCTGTTTGATCTATATCACATGTCTAGTATATTCATATAATCTGTCCAAGCTACAAATTAGAGAATCATTTATTATCTCATTAAAATGTAAATATAAGAGAAAAGTCACTATGTTCCCCCAGATAGAAAATACCTTAGTTTAGTCATATTTTGACAGTGTTTCCAAAGTGAATGTGTAATTTCTATTTAATTTTATTATGAGTAAGTTCATATTTCAGATATCAAGCCCAAAGGCTTCTGTGGCGTGTTGAAGGTTGGTGCTCTCCCTGGGAGAAGCATTGTTTAACATGAAGCTTGCTAATGGATTCCTATATAGATTCCTATATGATGGGTTCCTATAGAGACAGTATGCATCATTGAAAGGTCTTGAAAATAGCTTTACGTAGCACAGACTGAAAATTTAAAGAGAACTGCTTCAGTTAACAAGTCACTAATGTAATGAAAGTTTAAAAGAATAAGCTGAAAGTGAGGCATTTCAGTGAAAAAAATTTACATATTCACCTTGAAAGAGAACATTGTAATCTCATCATTAATGAAAAACAATAAAGATGGATCACCCAGCCAGAGATCAGAACTCTGGACAAGAAAAACTGTTTAAAAATATAACTGCCATTTTTACACCTTCTGGAACCAAACCAAGCTTTAGTTTAAAAACTGAGAAATAGTCTAATTGGGCATAAAACTCCAAAATGGAGGTGACATCACAGAGATGTGAATAGGAAGACTTTTGAAGAAAAGGCGTGGTAGACGGTGCAAAAAATAGCTACAGATTTCTTCCATTCATGCCCCCTGCAAAATAACTTTACAGCTACTGTCAACCAGAGGTGATTATTTCTCCATCCATGGAAACCGATCTCAACCACATGACTTGCTTAACCAACAGACATGGTAAGTGTGACATGTCCCAGCTGGGCCTGGCAGTGGCTGGAGAGACTCCCATCCCAGCTGGAGGAACCCTGGGCTAGCCAGCAGGAGAGGAGGATTCTGGGACCGTGACTTGCAGCTGTGTCACTGCCTGCCAGTGAGAGAGGGAGTAAAATATCCTGCCTCACTCAGATGAGGCAAGGAGTGACCACAGTGAGCGCAGGTGAGAGCCGTATGATAGTGCATGGCCAAGGGTTATACTCTTGACCACAGATCCGGTAGTTTGTTAAGAC